GAGAGAGAGAGAGAGAGAGAGAGAGAGAGAGAGAGAGAGAGAGAGAGAGAGAGAGAGAGAGAGAGAGAGAGAGAGAGAGAGAGAGGGAGGGAGGGAGAAGATAATGGGTTTTGCATGCACATACATGGAATGGATGAAAGTAGCTTGATATGAAGCTCCAAATAATGTAGGGCATCATCGACAAGTTGTTCATGCAAATCAATGGTTATGTTATTTCGGATGCCTTTGTTCCTGCAAAAGTTGGCCATATCGCAAAGCAAACAAATTCCAGACAGAAGAACACAGCTGAGTCCCAAGTGTGGCAGCAAACCTAGACTCCTCCCTTACCTCCTCTGAGAACAGCAAAAGAATTTTGAAAGTGCTGGAATCACATCAGAGGAAGAAAAGATGACAGGGAGGCAAGTCCAAAGGGGAAAAAAAAAACAAAAAAACATTGTGATGGGGGCCATTACTTTCAAGTGCTGTCGGCCAACTACTCAGCGACTTGGCCAGTAAGGTAAGAAGCCTTAGGCTGTATTCACACTGGGATTGGTTGACTTACTCTGGGCGTCATTGCAGCCAGATGCATCCAAAAACAGTCCTTGCGCGAGTGTTCCCTCAGATCAGGTATGAATGAAACATTCTTAGCTGTGAGTTATGCAATCAGACTTGTCCCGATTTCACTTCCAACATGCATACATGCAGGTGCCGATGGCAAAACAACTTCCTCAAAGTAGAATCAGCAACAAGCTTGAGATAGCGCAGTGCGCCCACACAGAAAACTCATATGATGGCCTTCGGTCAGGAACTCAGCTCAAGTCAACTTGTCACACATCTTGCGGCTATGGCGGCTGAGCGCCAGTCTGAAATTCCCACCCGAACACTGTATCCACCATTAGACACACTCACACTCACTCACTCACACACATGTCCACACACACTACGATCTACCCTGAATGTCTACGCACACATACACACACACACACACACACACACACACACACAACCTGCTGGCGTCGTCACACTGGCGGCTATGGCCGCCGTCGTCTTCCTCCTCACTAGCGGCTATGGCTGCTCGCCCTCTTCCACCTTCGGGCTTCCTGCTGACCACCTGTGACTCAACTCAGAAGTCACTCAAGCAGCACTTCCACGTAGCTCGCAGGCAAATGAATGAATGAATGGCTGGGCACTGCCTCTTTATTTATACTGTTTCGTTTGGTGGTCTGGCCTTCCCAGTCCCAGGCCCTTGGACGTGCCGTTCCACTCTGGTACTTGCTGCTGGACTGGGACTGGCTAAACCTGTGCCTCTTCGGGGCTGACTTGGGACTATTGACCTTTCAAAGACCGATGGTCTGCCTCCTACTGACTCCCAAAGGTCAAGTTGACTCTTCAGAGGACGTAGGGCCAGTTGACCTTTGGAAAGGCCAACTGTAAACTTGCTTTTCCCGGAAACTTACGGACGACCCTAAGACTCCTAAACGACTGACCTACGGATCAAGCCACACATGACCCAACTCATACACGCAAGAGATTTTTTTTATTTTTTTTTTTATAACACGCCCCCACCAGTGTTAGTGGTGCTGATAAGAGCAGACACCACTAGCAACTGGGGAGAGGCTCCATCTATTGGTGGGGAGCATCACCTGCTGGGAAACGGGCCCAGTGTCAACACCGCTTTGGGGACAGGTCACGGGTTCAAAACTCACAGGGTTAACGGACAACTGTACAGTGGGCTAGGGGAGGTCTGGGGATGGAGTCCTGGTATCTGCAATTGTTGCGCGGACTTGGTGAAACCCTTTCAATTAGCAACATGAAGAAATCCCGCCAAGGTTGGGTTTTCAAACGTTTCTCTCTTCCACTCTCCATTACCCACGGGACTCGCCCCTGGCAAAGGATCGAAGAGAAGGCGCTAATCCGAAGTTCTGAATCGTAATTGTGTGGTGAATACAGCATCACCACTATATAGATCAAATCACAAGATTTAAATTACGTCAATGCTTATCCTTCCTCCTCGATTCCCTCACTCACTTGCATATGGAAAAAGAAAGAAAAAAAAGAAAACAGTCCCCCCTGTACCTGTACTGAAGGTGATGATTTTAACTTTGCTTGTCCATTGAGAGTTTGAATGAATGAACAACGAGTTCTGGGACACGTACAAAACAACACACCTTTCAACAAATATGTTTGCACTCGCCTGATGGCGCTCCTTCATGGCTATCGCCTTAGACGCTTTACCCTGCAAAGCCAGACCAACCAACCCCACAGCGATGGTGACTGACATTCATTTCGAATTCATTTTACTGCTGGAAAATTGACTAAACTCTGTACCATTTCCAATGGTTGTGATCCAGCTTAATCTGCAGCTGGCAATGTGTGGGACACTTGACATCAAGTCTCCGTGGACTATAACCTTCTTTATTTTTTTCCTTACGAAATTAGTAAATTACATTATTTGAGTGGCACTGGCTAGTAGTTATCTGGACTCACCCCAGTAAACAGAATAATCAGCGGGTGGCCAAACCCGATCAAGAATTATTTAGAGTCGCAAACAAGATCATAACATCTATCGTTGTTCGAAGGGCGGTTGCTACTGTTTTCGTGGTGGTTGGTTCCTGCTTCCTATTTTCTAACATGGTTGGCCACCGCTCCACTTTTCCAATGGTGCCTACACCTGCTGGCTATCATGCCTTGCCCCCTCTTCTCGCTACCTATGAAGGTCAAGTCCTTATCTAAGTGGCCTGGGCTCAATTCTCCAACATCCTCCCCTTCTCGAAACTTCTCAAGGGTCATGTACAAGTCTGTGTACAAGTATTCTCTGCCAAAGAGCGGTTGCCTTAGCCCACTACCCAGTGAGCTGTACAAGGCCCTCACATCTTCCCTAAGACCTTTCATAGGTGATCCCCTTGTGGGCATCAGGTTCCTTCCACTGGGCTCCATTGCCAGTCCTTCCCCCTCTCTACTTCTTTCCGTCACCCTCTTCCTCCTCCTCCTCCTCCTCCGCCTCCTCCTCCTCCTCCTCCTAGTCCTTTGCCTTAGCATTATGTTCGACCATGATCCCCTCCTCACTGGCCTTCCCCCTTCTGGGGGCCTTTGGAAAGTTCTCATGGTGCACTGATTGGGTGGCCACAGCATATACCTGACCCGTACGGACCCGAAGACACAAATATTAACAACTTGTACTCGTGCTCGCCCAGAGAGCAACAGCTTTTTTCCTTCCAAATCAACCAACTTTTTATGGGCTGGAGACCATAGCAAACTAGAATGGCCCTGCGGCTTACTGGTGGCAAGCATTTTCATGCCCAAGACTACGATCAGCTTATCTGGGGACATCCGGATCATCCTAGCGGTTTTCAGGGGGTGGCTTCCATGGGGTAGCCTCCAACTCAGGGCCTTGTTTCCCAGTTAACCACCATATCAGAGACCCGCCCAAAGTGATCCGTTGCTGCCCTCATCTCCCTTATGTTGGCCTCTACTCCTATGAGGTTGATGAGGTCATCCATGAGTAATGATCTAGTGGGGAGGGCATCATCAGGCAGGCCAGTGACCAGGATCTTGATAAGGTTTGGGTTGCACTTCACATGAGGTGCCAGGGCCACCATCATTGCAACAAAGAGGAGGAGGGCCGGTGGGTTCCCGTGTCACACTGAGCATTGTAACCCAAACTCGCTACGTGGTCGTTGACCTAGACCCTGGTCGTGGTCTGCTAAACGTAAACTTGCCACCCAGTTCGACAAGTGCTCACCTGTATCCATTTTTTTGGTCATGCACTTATCTACAAACAACCAATCTACGTGGTCATACGCCTTTTCAAAGTCAACGAAGATAATCACTGCCTTCCTTTCTCCTTTGGAGGATGAAACGAGGTTGTGCAGGACCAGTTGGAACCGTTACTGTCAACAAGGTAATCGGGCGGTAATTCCTTTTTTTTTTTTTTTTGTTTGGGGGGGGAAGGGAATGTCTGACTTTTCTCCAGTTTTATTATACCAGAAGGCGAGCGCCCCCTTGATCACAAGTTCCTCGAACCATTCCTCCTCCCAGATCGCCCTGTAGAAATTCGTAAGGTCAGTACGTAGACACTACAAACAGGAAATCCAACAACACTCACGACCTTGCCTCCCTCCACGTCCATCAGAGCTTCCCGGACTTTCATGGTAATAGTCGGGACCTCCTCCAAGGATGAAGATTCTTCCCTTGAGAACTTGGCCTGCATTGTGTCCAGGTGAATAACTTCTTGTAGAACTCCCTTGCATACCGAAGTATGGGGAGGGGGGGGGGGGGKGGTTCTTCTCGTCGTGCATGGGGCTTCAGTGCATGATGGATGCAGGATCATGCAGCCAATGGTAGACTTATCAGACAGGTTTTGCCGTCAAGAAGAAAGACCGACTCACTGCTGCGTCCCAAATCTCCAGACCCAGCTTACTTCTGAATCGCATCCCTTGCCAAAACTTGGCCCTATCTGACGACTGACACTCTCCTGCTCGAGTCATCGTTAAGTGAATTGTATTCAAATTTTGACTGCTTCTGCTCACAGAGTTCGTTATCATAGTTGGCTCACTGTCATTTGTTGTTCATGTCATCAGGTTGTGAAACCTTCACTATCTGTCGTTCCTACGCTTCTTTATGGCTCTGCAATCACGTTTTGCAGCATCCACTCTTTCTCTGTAAGTATTTTGTTCAGGTAGGAGTGTATGCTCGTATCATCTCTCCTATCTGTTGTCGCGGGTGGAATTTTCTTTTAAAAAAATGTTCGTCTTTAGCGTATTTCTCAAATTGTAACATGGCTCACCGTCATTTGTTCTTCGTGTCATCAGGTTGTGAAACCTTGACTATCCGGCATTTCCTAGACTTCTTTATGGCTCTGCCATCATGTTTTCCGGCATCCACTTTTCCTCTGTAGGTATTTTTCAATTTGTTCCTCTTTAGCTTATTTCTCAAATTGTCGCATAGTAGCTATTCCTTTGTATCATTCATAAATCCCCTTTTTCCCTAGCCCTTTGGTGGCCTAGCTTGCCCAATGCTTGTGATCCTTTGTTCAGGTGTTCTCAGCCCCAGAGAAGAGACGTCTTGCTCTCTGACTAACCCATCCAACAGTATTTGATACTCGAAAAAGTGCTGCACACCAACTGAAAAAAGTTCAAAAAACAAACCAGCGCGGGCGTGATTTTTCTTCTTTTTTGGCTGGCGGCGCCAGCCATGTTGGTCTGGTAGCCCCGGGCCCCAGACCCCCAAAACTTTCGGAAATATGTTCTCACCAACTCGATTTGCCTGGGGCACGTAGTGGCGGTTCAATAGACTATTTAATATTTAATATTTAATATTTAATATTTAATATTTAATATTTAATATTTAATATTTATGGATTAGCCAGTGTAATAGCCAGGTGAAAAAGTTTGCAGGCTGCTCTTGAGAGCAAGCACTTGTCATGCATGTGTGCAGTGCACAGTGCACTTCACTAAAAAATAGTAAAAATCCGTGCAGCGCATTTTCCAGTTCCTCTTTACCTTCTGCAAGGGCAATGAGCAATGTGAATTACAGACGCCAAATTCCATCATCCAATTGATAGCCAGATAGTCATATGTTCGAACAAAAAGCAGAATGCACCAAGATACACACCAAATAAGAGCAAAGCAATGAATACAATTGACAATGCAAGCCCTCTTCTCGCCTCCACAGTCAGTGTTCCCCAATGTGGCTCTCCTATATGGTGCTCAGCACCCAGACTACAATCAGACAGCAACTAGACACCTAGCACCTAATGACGACAACAGGTCTTCATGACGTACATCATTCCCGATGATGAATGAAGACTCCGAGAGTGTGGCCCACTCCTCATTACCAGGTGTGAACTCTGTCTCTCCCTCAACACTGCTCACATCCGCTCCTACCTCACATCCCTTTCTCCCAGGACCTTCGCCTTCCGTCAATGCCTGCCGCCAGTCAAGGCCCGCTATGGCTGACCGGCATCCAGGCTGCCTTCTCGCACCTCCACCTCGCGCTCCGCCAGCACTTCCAGTCCTCTGTGCGGCCTCCAGCAAGCCAGCGCTCCTCCAGCGCTGCCGCGTCCAGCCAGCCAGCCTGACAGTGTGCAAGTGAGTGAGCCTCACTTGCTTTTGTTCTGTCTCGCTGGGTGAGGACTGGCTCTGGAGGCTTGTCCTGTGTCCCAGTAGCATGTGCCCAGGGCCCTTCCAGAAAGCGCCTGAGGATCAACTGTTTGCGCCCTGGAACCCAGCATCTCTAACTGATCAGGCCTGCTGGTTGGTTGCAGATGCTGCATGCAGCAACCAACCCACGGGCCCCCGTCCCAACACATAGGCCTCCTAAAACAGGCCTCGGCCAATTTTCAGGGGCCTGCCTTCTCTTAGGGCGGGCTTAGACAGTTTCCGGCGGGTGCACACCCTTTTCAACCTCAGCCAAAGGTCTCATGCTTTGCAATTTAGGAAAAAAATGCCAGATAAAAGGATTGTATCCCAGCCAAAAAAAATGCTTGAAATAACGTCTAAAATCACAAACTTCGCTTTCCAACCTTTCTTGGGTAGGAGGAGGAGGGGGGGGCAGCTGTCGGAGGTTTGTGGGGCGAGTGGGTTGGCAGAGGGTGGGCTGGGTAGGTTTGGTGTGGTGCACACAGAACATGCGTGACATGTCAGTGTGCTGTGCATGGTGTGTCACATGTGCACACGTTGTAGACTCGTCATCGGAATCCAAATATCCAACAGTGGAGCTTCAACCTGGGGTGTGAACTGCTGACATTACGAGTATTACCTTCTCAGAGAGTGCAGCTGCGCGTGTAAAATCTCCTCTAGTGTAAGCAGCTGCTGCCTGCAAAACATAAAGCAATATTGAGTGTCATGAGAAGCAGTCCAACAAAAGGACACTGCAGTGAGATGCAGTGCAAGGACAAATTTCCTTGCATATTACCCAGAATCAAAATGCTGAAGAAAGCATCCAATATTTTCTTAAGATGGAGATGCCAGATTGTTATTAGGTAATACGTTCCGCCAACTTCCTTTCTCATTCAATAATATGAAAGACGTCGAACATTCCCTCATGAAGTCCAGACCAGCATCACAAATACAATAGCGAGAGAATGAGAGAGCAAACAGACAATTGGAGATGAAAGAACTTCACTCGGAGGAGCAGGCCGCAGACACTTAGGGTGAGCCAGCAGCAACAGGGGTTATTAACTTATTACTACTTATTAGTGGTTGTTTGTGTAACCGGGGGTTCCAGGGAATTGGGTGGTGGCCAGGGTATGCCAGGCTGAGTAAACAAGGGATGGCCTTTCGAGAACTATCGTCTTCACCCGAATAGAGCGTACTGTCATTCTCGCCGCATCTGGACTGAAAGTTGTGCCAAATACAGGCAGAATGACTGCACGTTTTATTTGGGGGAAGACGGTAGCTGGTCCATTGGTATTCTGTATCTGGGACGCTGGACCCGATTTACAGCAGGTGATGCTCCCCACCAATAGACTGGAGCGACCAGCTGTGATCTGCAAGGAGGTGACACTCTTGTCGCCCATCCTTGCAGTCGGCACCTGGCCTTTAGTTTAAAAAAAAAGAGAAGCAACAACAACCAATCCCCTTCTTCATTCTCTCCATTATCTTCGCAATGTCATCTCCCTTCTATTATTAATAATTTCACAATCGAGAAATGAATTATTGGATCTCAGCCGAAGAATGAAGCAAGAATGTCAAGTCTGCCTCCCAGCATCCACCACCAAGAGATAGACAAGTAACCTCTCTGTTCATTCAAGCACCATAGTTCCCTATCATAAAGTCTGAAGAAGAAGTCTGCTGATGAAGGTAATGCCCTTCGCTACCCCCAACACTCTTCTTTCTCGCTGAGCACTGAGTCCAAGTGCTAAAGGTGCTCTCTCTCATTCTTGCAGGTGTGCATAACCAGGCCTTTCTCTCTCTTGGAGGTTGGATGCATGCAATACCATACCCATTCGGGCCTTCTCCATGGCCAGGAGGCAATCCACCATAGCTGGGCTTAGTCCTAGCTCCTATTCAACGCCAGTTCCCTTTTCTCCAGACCGCTAACACCTTCCACAGATTCATTTGGTACCAGACAGCTACTGGACGTATATCTACTCCAGGCCTAGCCTCCATCTCTAGCACAGACTTGCTGAAAATCCCTACAGTCTCATAACACAGAGCCTCTAGAGTCTCTAGACTCTCTACTGAATTTCAGGCATGTCCCTGTAACTCTCAAAACTGTGTACTTGTCCATCCATGGTGCCAAAAAGTTCTCGCTTTTTGCATTATCCTCTGTCCAAGACTCAGACATGTCCACAGACATTCAAGTTCATAAACACACATGCACACACACGACTGGCTACACAGTTGCATACATGTATATGAAGGGGATGCGCCACCCCTCCTCCACTGCCTACAATGCCAGTGTCTGATGGCCTTGACAATCACTGCTACCTGTCTCTCCTTCCTGTCTTCCTCTCTATTCCTATGCTTCTTGGCTCTACCCGTCTTCCTATCAACCTCTCGTTCCTCTTGCAGGGAGGTTGATAGGAAGACACACCAAGAGATCGAGGGTTCAGGATAGGAACCTCTCGTTCCTATCAACCTCTCGATCCTCTTGCAGGCTCTACCTCTCGTTCCTATCTATTCCTATGCTTCTTGGCTCTACCCTGTCTCTCCATCCTGCCAACTTAGAGCCAACACCAGCGTTAAAGTTTGTAAAGAATAATTCTTATCAGAAATAACAACTTCACGAAAATTTTCTATAAATCCTTCATCGAGAAGAATTTTCGCAATACTTCTAGCAGTTTTGTTGGCCTGTGCAATAACTTTTTTCTTACAAGAGATCGAGGGTTCAGGACAGCCGTCTAGAATTGGCCAATTCTGTCCTCAGAACAATACCTCCTCTGTAGAGTCTGTACCTAAGCTGGGTGGTGGTCCCAGTATTTACCGGGTTGTTTGTGGAGGGATTCCCGGCCTCCATTCCCTTTGAACCGCAAGTACATCACCCAGGCAAACTTGAGAATTGAGATCGAGTCAATTTGAAAATTTCAGAGTTTCGGGGCTACCAAACCAAAACGGCCGGCGGGGCGGCACCAGCCAAATGAAAGCAAAAAACGTCCCGCTGGCATTTTGGCAAAGCTTGCCACGCAGGGGGAATCTGCCTCGGCAAAAAAGGCTTGGATGTACTGTATGGTTTAAGCATGAGTCATCAGCTCGTTCTGACTGTGTGCCTACCCTTTGCACACACCACCTGTCGCTCCTACCGATTGAATGGATCGGTGAAGTGTCTGGATCGCGGGGATCCCGGTGGTTTGTGAGAAGTTTCTTTGAACTTATCATTTATAGGAAGGAGAAGTTGCAACGAGGTTTCCATAAAAGAAATAAATCATATTGTTTTGGAAGATAGGTCTCCAACTCTATCAGGCGGTCCCCCTGAAGAGGGAGGCATTCTCCCCCTCCTCTTTTTCCCAATACTTGAGTTTCATTATATGTATGCGGGGTGCTGGACCCGGTTTCCAGCAGGTGCTGCTCCCCACGAATGGATGGAGTGGTTGGGGCCTCAAGTTTGCCAGGGGTGGATGCTTCTACCAACACTTCTAGTTGACTTAGACCAAGTTTATGATTCAAGCATTGGACAATGATTCGAAGACTTTTTCACATTTCTTCAATGGGGACACAATAACGATCATAACAATCTCCTCGTGTACCTACGGGTCCATCAAATTCTACTTTGTTGTCATAAACATCGTAGGGTGCTGCTTTTCGCAAATCCCAGGAAACCCCTGAACCTCTTAACATTACACCACTAAATCCCCAATCCATAGCCTGTTGTGCAGGAACAGTACCAATATCTACAAGTCGTTGTTTCCAAATACGATTGTTTGTTAACATTTCTTCTACTTCGTAACCGAAAAAAAAAAAAGGGTTTCCAACTTTCCGTAGAAATGATAAATTGTATTGTTTTGGAAGGTAATGTAATTATGCTGGTGGTGATCTCAGGTGGGATTTAATGGGTCTTCAACTTTTCACCTATCTCATTCGTGGCCGGGAGGTTTTTTGATACACCTATTTTGGGGATTCAGTAGAGCTTGTGTCAGTAGGGTACTAGCGGACCATGATTTTTTTGAGTCTTATTCATCACTTAGTACACTTACATTGTTCTTAGCCAAAGACAGGTAATGCTCCCCCGGTAGTTCATGTTTTCTGTTTTGCCGCAAGGGAAGTTGGGCCCGGTTACCAGCCGTGTTGCTCCCTACGAATAGATTGTTGGAGCATCGGCGAGCA